GCCAAGCATCGAGCTCTGCCTTGGTCTTGCAATCCTTCGCGTTGTAGGGAGCCTCAGCTGGTGGTACTGTGGACGGTTGCGAAATCCGCTGCTCGCACCACCGTTCAGACGCCCCGGTTTCTCCAACAAATAATGGTGTCAAATATGGTTTCATTTCATTGTGCGAAATGGAGTTCGTCCAAAACTCAAACCCTCGTTTGTAAGATGGTTGGAAGGCCGGCAGCTTTTTGTTGACAGCACGTTCAACGGAAAAGGACCTTCTTTTGTGTCCGAAACCCCTGCGAGTTATGAGGCCTTGAAGGTTTAAACTCTATTTGTTCCGTGTTGTTTGTGGCTCATTCGCAACAACCATGCCGGTGTTGGAACGTGTCGACATGACTCACGCAACCATAACTTGTGTACTTGTCATGTTGCCATTATCCAACAACCACGAATGCACCGGAACGTGTTCTTGTTTATCTTTGAGGGCCAACTTGCATACCAAATGGACATACCCCAAGATAAGTGGTTGTACTTGGGTTATACAGGATACCTCACATAAGGCCTATCAGTGGCGTGCGAGAATATGCTTGGCACATCATCATCATCATCATCATCATCATCACCATCCTGAACGCAAGGCAACGGGTCAGGGTCAGGCCACCTGGATCTCCATCTGTCGTGCCGGACAGTACGTGGTTGTTGGCGAATGTTCCCAGACGTCTACCAGAAACCGGCCCCAAACCTGTGAACATGCCGACAAATATCTACAAATTGCAACAAGTATCTGCAAATAACAAACATGTGTCCAATGAGAAGTGCCGACAAATGCGCTGCACAGCTCTGGGGTCCCACACATTCTGTTGCTGGGATTGGTTCGCGAACTTGTGCCACTCGCTCATCCAGTCCTCTCACAAGTTCCCCCCCGCCGAACCTGTTGACCTATTGAAGCCATCGAACCTGCAGAAACCTCTTGAACCTAGTGAACCTTCTGAACTTAACATACCGAACTTGTTGACCCGATCGCATCTATTCAACCCGTTGCCTACGAAAGCTGTCCTTGGCTTGCGTACAAGGTATGCAGTGTGCCGCACAAAGCACATGTTGAGCCTGTGGCGCAAACAGCCGCAAAACTGACAATAGTGGGCGCTTGAAGACCGAACCTTCGGCAAAAAGAAACAGACGGTTCTGCATGTTACCTGCTGGCATGTGAGAAGCAGTCGATGCGGGTCAATTTGCGCCAATCCCGGTTCTCACGGATTTCTATGTTCTATGCTGGCATGTGGGGAATGGTCAAAATTGCTTGCTCCCCTGAGAGGTCGTGGGCCTGGGAATGCGTGAGTCCTCTGGGAAATTTAGTGCGTCCCAAAGTCTCCCCCACATAGACACTGAAAACGTTGACGAACCTCATGTGAGCAGTAGCAATCTGCCACCAGAGAGAGAGAGAGAGAGAGAGAGAGAGAGAGAGAGAGAGAGAGAGAGAGAGAGAGAGAGAGAGAGAGAGAGAGAGAGAGAGAGAGAGAGAAGAGAGAGAGAGAGAGAGAGAGAGAGAGAGAGAGAGAGAGAGAGAGCGAGAGAGCGAGAGAGCTGTCAAACTACATGCTTCACTTTGCACTCTTGTTGCATGTATGTTCACTACCGCAGGCCTTGAGCTTACTACTCCGCATGAGTCAAAAGGTTGGCAGCTGCAGACTACATTGGTTGACTGTTTGTTTGAACACTACAGCACTTGCACTTGTAAGCAAAGTAACAACCGATTTTAACGTGGTAGCGGAGCTGAGATCCTAAACATAGGGGAGCTCCAGTAAGCAGTAAGTACTACAACCACAGCAACAGCAGCTACATGCCAAACTACTACGACATGTCAGGAGAAGCAGCATCAGCCTCAGCACAACAAACTACAGGAGCAGAGAACGGGCCAACAGCAGACACAGTAGGAGCCACGACTACGGGAGCAGCAACAGAACAAGACAACGACGTTCAGAGACTACATAAATACAAACTGCCACCACCCTTCTTCACTGGTGACTACTCCCAGTATGAAGAATGGCTGTTCAAGCTACAAGCATACCTCGGCCTCATAGACCGAGACTTCGACCTGGTGCTACAACTAGCACAAGTGGCTACACGACAGATTGAGGACACAGACATCAGAACACACATACTCGACCCTACACAAGCAAGCAAAGCAGTAGACCTCTCCAGAGATCTACACTACATCCTCATCAACATCTGTCAGGGAGCAGCAGCTACAGTAGTAAGGCAAAACCGCTACAACGCAAACGGATGTGAAACACTACGACTACTGCACAACAGGTTCAGCCTACCAGTAGGAACAAGGAGCGTTGGTTACCTTACCAAACTACTGGAACCCACATTCAACGAAGCGCAGTTTGAAGAACAATTTCTACAATGGGAATACGACATCAACCGCTACGAGAAAGACAATGGAACAGCACTACCAGATGGAATCAAAATAGCAATACTACTCAACAAAACCAAAGGAGCACTGCAGCAACACCTCCAACTGCGAGCTGGACAGATCACGAACTACATCGAGATCAGAGCACTCATCCTGGACTACTACAAAACGATTTCAGCCTTCACTAGATCTACTTCAGCAGTAGGAACAAACTACAATGGAGGAACTGCACCAATGGATGTTGACAACATATGGAGGAAAGGAAGAAGCTACAAAGGCAAAGGAAAAGGAAAAGGCGGCTACAAAGGGAGCAAGAGCAAAGGCAAGTACAAGAGTAAAGGACACTACAAAGGATTCGACAAAGGCAGCAAAGGAAACTACAACAAAGGAGGATACAACAAGAGCAAAGGAAAAGGCTACTCAGGATCCAAAGGATATGGATCAAGCAAAGGCTACAAAGGCCAAGGAAACTACAGCAAATCAAAAGGAAAAGGAAGCAACAACTACACAACCTGCCATCGATGTGGCAAGCCCGGCCACTGGGCACAAGACTGCAGAGTGCCGGTATGGCACATAGGAAAAGGAGAAGAACTACATCCACCAGAACAAGAACAAGCAGATCACGACAACAATGATGAACTACCTCAGGATGTGAACGACACTTGGGACTGGTACTACGAAGGAGAAGAAGGACAACATGAGGTGAACTACATGGAGGAGAACTGGAACGACTACGACTATGACAACAGCTGGGATTGGAATGACAACAGCTATGAGGACACAGCGAACTACATTGGAGGCATCAACGAGTCACACCTCACCATTGGACACATCAGACAAGCAAAACCACGACTACACAAGCACAAATCCAAATCACTACTTGGCAAGAGAACAACACACACAACATCATGGAACGACCACAGCAAGAGCTTTCAACAATTCCTACAAGAAGACACCACAAAGCTACACTTCGACATAGCAGCAGCAAGACAACAACAAAGGAACAAGAAGATTGAGGACACTATCACCCACTACATCATGTACTCCAACTTCAAGTTATACCACCACCTGTTGATCGACTCAGGAGCATCTACACATGTTTGCCCAAAGGACTACGCACCGGATCTTCCACTACGACCCTGTGGAGAATCAGTTCCACAACTCTACACGGTGACCAACAAGAAGATTCCAGTCTACGGCATCAAGTACCTTCCCTACAAGCAGGACAACTTCAGGATCATGATACCCTACTACGTTTGTGATGTGAAGTATCCAATCCTCAGCGCATCAAGACTACTTGATAGAGGATATGCACTTGACTTCACTCCACGACACTGCACCATCACACATGGACAACAACAAGCAAACCTCATAAGACACTCAGGACTTTTCTACCTACGAGCAGAGAAGATCGACATTCCTACAGGATTCGACATCTACCCAATGACTACAGACAATGGAAAATCCATTGCTGTGGTTCAACCTACAGAGAGAGCAGCACAACAACAAGAACAAATCGCACCACTCACACACACAGACCAAGGACTACGACAGATCCTTGGTGGAAACACTGACTACTGGAAACTTGATGGTGACTACGCCATCAGAGTACACAAACGACCACGCAAAGCACTGTTCACACCACACAACAGTGGCTGCCCAATACCAGAAGGAGAACTAGATGATTGGAGACTAACCATCATGAACAGACAAGGGCAAGAGCAAGAACAACTACAAGAGAACCCAACACAACTTTCCAAGCAAGAACTACAACGAAGACTAGAAGGTGACAACTGGACTGGAGAAACCAGATTCAGAAGAAAGATAACACCTACACGCAGAGCAACATCAAAGACCACACCAACAAGGCAGAGCTCACAACCACAACGGCTAATGGACACACCACCAACCAGATCAAAGATCCAACTACGAGCACCACAAAAGATATGGAGACCCAAAGCAGCACCTTCTACAAATCTTGACACCACACAACCAAAGGAGACGATACACAGACCACTCACAGCACAGGAGGACAACCAAGACTACTGGGAAAGACAAGGTGAACATTGGATACGACACCACACAACGCTTAGAACAACTCTCTTCACTCCAACAGATGGACCAGGACATCCACCAATCAACACACTTGAACCTTACAGAACTACAATCACTCACAACAACTTTGGAGAAGTTTCACAACGCAAAGATGACTGGACAGTCATGGGCAACGCAGCACTACCATTTCAATGGAAAGGAACAACAAGGTTCACCGTGAAGAAAGACTACGAGTACATCCAGGAGAACCACGATGAAGAACAACAACACGAGCATCATGAAGCACACAGAGCAAGAGGACTACGACAACCACAGCAGCCCACTCCACAACAAATAGCAGAACACAACCTTACACATCTACCATACAGAAACTGGTGTCCAATTTGCGTTCAAGGCAAAGGACGCCAAGACAACTACAAGAAACAACAACCACGACAACCTGTCATTCAAGTAGACTTTGCCTACATCAAGTCACAACAAGACCCACAGACCACACCGGTACTGACAGCAGTTGATGTTACTACACAACTGTGTATGGCAGTATTGGTTCCAGACAAAGCATCAATGATGGACTACATGGTGAACAACCTACAAGCATTCATCTTTGAGTGCGGAAGAACACAAGGCATACTACAAAGCGACAACGAGGACACACTCAACGCACTTCTAAAAGCTACAGCAGCAAAAGTCGGCACAATGAGAGTACGACATTCACCTTCCTACAGCAGCAACAGTCAAGGAAGCGTTGAGCGACTACATAGAACACTTCTCGGACAAATCCGCGTCGTCAAAGCTCAGGGTTGAAAGCAACTACAGCATGACGATGTTCACAAAGCACTGTCTACTACCTTGGATAGTACGACATGCAGCATGGACGGTAAATCGCTACGTCATTCACTCAGACGGCTACACAAGCTTTGAACGCCGCTGGGGAAGAAACTACGAGCGAGCAATCTGCGAATTTGGCGAGACACTACTCTACCTTCCACCACAACACAAGAAACTCCCAAAAGCAGACCTACGGATGCAGAAATGCATCTGGCTCGGAAAAGTTTCTGAAACCGGAGAAAACTACGTCGCAACGGAATCAGGCGTACAAAAGGTACGAACAGTACGGAGACTACAACCGGACTTCAAATACGACCTCGCACTGTTGAACAAAGTCTCCGGCACACCATGGGCACCACGACGGAACACCTACAACCCATCGTTCGCAACACTGTTGGATACGCAACTACAACCGTCAGAGAAAAGAAGGTCCACGCAAGACTTCGGACAACAAACGAACGCTACGGACGACATCGTTGCGGAACCCGCAACAAAACAACAACGCACTACACCACCTCCACGACTTCCGTCCACATCGACGTCAAGTTCACGACCACTACCGGATAGTCCTATGGCTACTTCACCAACTGGACGACAACATCCACCACTACCAGCACCACCTCGACAAACACTACGACGTTTAACTCCGGAAGAAGTAATGCAACCAACTAAAGCACAGAAGACCTCAAAGGACACTACAATCAGATCAACGGAACAAGCAACCAAAGAACCACCACCACTACGACAGAAAATCAACGCAGTGACACTTCCCAACGGAAAATCCATCACTCCCTACACAAACGACGACACCTCAGAAGACCAACCCATAATCTTCGACAACGAAGGTTACGACGAAACACAACTACTGGAAGGAATGAAGCACGAGTCAAACCAAATGAAACTACACGACGTCTACGACGAAGTAGATGCGTCTACCGTCAACGACAACGTCATCAGAGAAGCGATACCTACAAGATGGGTACATAGAAAGAAAGGACCAGGAGTACGAAGCCGAATCGTCGCAAAAGGCTACACCGAGAAGATCGAGGACGAAGACTCCGTCTACGCTTCTACACCAATGTTCACGACACTCCGGACACTTCTCGCACTACAAATGTCACGACCAAACTGGATCGCGCGACTAGGTGACGTCTCTACAGCATTTCTACACGCACCCATCGCAAAAGACCACGACGGTAAACAACGTGACGTCTACCTTTGGCCACCTAAAGATCTTTGTCCACAACAGGACAAAATCTGGCGACTAAAGAAAGCCATGTATGGACTACGCAGTTCACCAAAAGCATGGCAGGACTACCTGGCTGAAGTGTTACAAAAGCTCAGCTTTGTAAGACTAAAGTCAGAACCCAACGTCTACACCAATGCGACTCGCGACTGCTACATCATGGTCTACGTGGACGATCTACTAGTACTTGGAGACAAGACTGCGGTCGACTCCACTTTCGAGGCCGTCCAGAAGCAGGTACTACTCAAGCACATCGGCTACCTCGAACCTGGCAAACCACAACAATTTCTTGGAAGAAACATCGACCACTTCGGCAACTACTGCAATCTTGGACTAAAGGACTCCTACATCGACAACATGATCGAGGAGTCTGGAATGAACAACTGCAACTCAGTGAACACTCCAGGAATTGCACATTACAAACCAACAATAGAAGATGAAGCACTACTTGACCACGAACAACACAAAAGGTACAGAAGGATTGTTGGCAAACTTCAATGGTTAGCATACACACGACCAGACATTGCATACTCCACAAAAGAACTAGCACGAGACCTCACAGCACCTACAGAACTTTCACAAAAGAGAGTCAAACATCTACTACGCTACTTGCATGGCACCAAGCACTACAAATTCACCATAGAACCAACAACAACACTCAGAGCAAACACCAACAACATCCTGGATCTCGACGTTCATGTCGATGCCGACTGGGCAGGATGCCCTACTACCAGGAAATCAACTTCAGGTTTCAACATCATCTTTCTAGGAACAACAGTTGCATTTGGCAGCAGAACACAAGCTACAATAGCACTTGGCTCAGCAGAGTCTGAACTCTACGCCATTTGCACAGGAGTTAATGAGGGACTACACCTCAGAAACTTTCTACTTGAAACCAACATTTGCAGCAAGCTAAACCTACGCATCCACACAGACTCCACAGCAGGCAAGAGCATTGCTACACGACAAGGCACTAGCAAACGAGCAAAACACATCGACCTTAAATTTCTCTACACACAAGACCTCATCAAGCATGACATCATCAGAATCCTTAAGATCAACACACTCCACCACAGCGCAGATTTGTTTACCAAATACATCAGCAAAGAAACACTACACAGGCTCATCCAGAGCATTGGAATACGCATCTAGCACTACGAACGACCAGCACAGCAGTTTCACAACAACAACAACAACAACAACAACAACAACAACAACAACAACAACAACAACAACAACAACAACAACAACGACAACAACAAACAACAACAACAACAACAACAACAACAACAACAACAACAACAACAACAACAACAACAACAACAACAACAACAACAACAACAACAACAACAACAACAACAACACAAAACAACAACAACAACAACAACAACAACAACAACAACAACAACAACAACAACAACAACAACAACAGCAACAGCAACAACAACAACAACAACAACGACAACGACTTTGGACATTTCATGTATGTAAGTAGCTACATGTAACACGACACTTTTGGTATGTAAGTAACAGTAACTACATGTACTTTCACTTGCACTTTTGGCGGCTTGAGTCAACACTACAGTTGTTTGTTTTGCATGTCTGCATTCGCCGACTGCCTGGTAGCAACTACTTAGCCTCATTTGTTTTGCCCCGTTTCACTACATTTTGCATTCCACTGCAGCCATGGCCGCTCCATCTACTGCAGATGCTACGATGGGAGACGCCACTACGCCCGACAGGGCGCTACACCTGAGGTGGCGGTCACTACAGACTCCAGTGACCATGGAACTCCACCACCTCAAACCTACAACGACTCCAACTACCACTTCAACCATTCTACACCCGGCAACACCGTCTACTACAACCCGACCACAGTGATGGACCAACTACACATCACTGAGCACCAGACAACCACTGCACCACCACTGGCCAACAACATTCCCTACACGCAATTTTTCACCGCATTTACACTTGAAGAGTATCAACTACTCTCACAACAACAAGCTACTCCACTGGCACAACTGGACTACACACGACCCATTCACTGCATCCCTGGAGATCTTCGGATGCCACACTACAATTCCACACTGCTCAGCATTTCACTACCTGAAGCAGCCAATGTCCACTACTACCACACGACTTCACTCCACACAACAACTGGCGACAACAACAACTACGTCATCATCCAACTCCAGATTGAACAACCACTACTCCTGAGGTACCTCACTTCAGGACAATTTCTACACTTCACAAGGGACTACATCTCCTACATGATGTCGGTACAACACAACTACTACCTCCCGACTACAACACTGCCACAGACCATCTTCAAGGTGAACTACAACATGGCCACCTTCACTGAAAACTACAGCCTCAGGAACAACTACGTTTGGAATTTCCACATGCCACTACTACTACCTGAACTACTCCACTACCTCTACAACAGAGACCAACTCCACGACTACCAACACAAAGCAATCACTACAATCCTCTGCAAAAGCATCCAATACTACGGATTCACACTACTCACAATGACCAACCTCACACAACACCACACAGCACTACTACACCGCTTTCTACGGGACTACGACCAACACATGTCGTGTCCCGAGATTGATGATGAGCGACTACGGGGAGCTCCAAACTACATGACAACCTTTTTCACCACCAACTACTACGCGACCTTGGACAGTCGACTACAGATGGTCCAAGCCTACCGCACCCAGAAATGGGGACTACATTTTTGAGCTTCTGCTCTACTACAACGAGTGCCTGCCTTCACTACTTCCGTCCAGCGCCCTACATCGAGCTGGAACCTGAACAGCGTGAACTACTGAGAGCAGGTCACTACTTTTGCCAATACAGTAGAATTGATGAACAACAATGGTTTTCATCACTACTGTCAATCCATGTTTTGCACTTCAGTTGAAAAGGTACTACAAAGACCTTTTAACTGAGGGGCCGTGTCAAACTACATGCTTCACTTTGCACTCTTGTTGCATGTATGTTCACTACCGCAGGCCTTGAGCTTACTACTCCGCATGAGTCAAAAGATTGGCAGCTGCAGACTACATTGGTTGACTGTTTGTTTGAACACTACAGCACTTGCACTTGTAAGCAAAGTAACAACCGATTTTAACGAGAAAGAGAGAGAGAGAGAGAGAAAGAGAGAGAGAGAGAGAGAGAGAAAGAAAGAAAGAAAGAAAGAAAGAAAGAAAGAAAGAAATAAAGAAGGATTTAAAAAAAAAAAGAGAGAGAATGAAAAAGAGAGAGAGAGAGAGAGAGAGCGAGAAAGAGAGAGAGAGAGAGAGAGAGAAGAAAGAAGAAAAAAAAGAGAGCGAGAGAGACAAAAATAATGAAAGAGAGAGAGAGCGAGAGAGCGAGAAAGAGAGAGAGAGAGAGAGAGAGAGAGAGAGAGAGAGAGAGAGCGCATGGATCGCAGATTCCTACGCAACAGCTTGATGTCCCAGGCTGCCCACAGGTACACGACACGAGTATGTGTGTGTGTGTGTGCGTCTGTGAGCTCTCACTGCCTCTGCCACTTGCCCGGCCTTCTGTGTGTACTGGTGGGACATATTCATGTACTTGGAGTAGTCCTGGGTGAAAGCCGGGTGAACCCGGCTTTCACCAGAGTCTCAACCCGGAAGTCCCCAAATGCCAATGTGCCTCTTGCACCAGAGCTCGCACCACATGCCCACGCCACATAAGTCACAATCAAAACCCGGCTACAAAAATGGTCGACCCAGAACCATGTAAAGAACTAAGAAGCCGGATATCCGCAGCTTTTTAGGGATTGTCCCTGACGAACCTTCATCTACCCGAATCGGTTTTGAGGACGTGGCTCACATGCCTCGCTCTCTAGTTGCTCCGGATCCCAGGAGTAAACTCACCTCAGGCTGCAGCCATGTACTTGTGGAAGTCTGCGGTCACGCCAGACAGGCCGCCTCTAGGGCGTCACGGGGATATGTTTTCACGGCAGCTCGCGGCTGTGTTTCTCAAAATCCGCCCAAATCATCCGGGTGGTGGGTTCAAGACGACGAAACATTCCTGAAGCACACACTTCTGTAGGGAAAGGTGCGCATGTTTTGGTCTCAGATGAAATACATAGGGCCTTCCCAAACCAACCAAAAAAAGGTTCCCTTCTTGGCTAAACATGACCCAAACGCAAACGCTCCGCAGATCCGCCTTTGGGGCCACCATCCGTTGTGCCTGCTGGCACCTCGAGAGCAATGGTCGCTGCCAAGGATTCTGACTGGGGCTCCTTCAAAAGAAAGCTTTTCGGTAGGTGCTCTTAGTGGGACACCAGAAATGGAGCACCACTCATTTTTGGGAGGTTCCTTTCCTCAAAAAGAGACACCCAAACACCCTCCAGACCAACATGGAAGCTTTCCTGGGACTTTTTTGGAATGGTTCCGCCTGGGAGCTTCCATGCGGCTGGCCCGAAAAAATGCAGCGTCAACGACAGCCCTGCGATGCCTAGGTCCTCCAGATTTGAGAGGTTAGAATATGTTTGGTACCAACATGTCTTTTTTTTCGGTTTTGTCTATTTTAGTAGAAAAAACCCTCCCCAACAAAAGAAACGGTGAGAACGGGCACCAAGCTGGGGGACCTGGCCAAGTCCAACCCGGAGCGGCAAGCAAACCCCCGCGGATCCCCAGCTCGGAGTCTTCCAGCTCAGGCGGCCGCGAACCTCTGCGCGAAGCCGCCGAAGCCTCGGAGCCGCGGTCGGAAAATCGCCGCACTGGACGAGTCAAGTTGCTTAGGAAATCTGTTTCGAGTCATCTAAATATATATATATATATGTATAATATAGTGTGTATATATATATACGTATATTGTGAACTATGTATCTACTGGATTCATGTATTCATGTATTCATGCAATAATTCAGTCGTGTCTTGGTTTTTGTTTGTGCTTATGATACACTGTTTGGTTTAGTATGTCGCTTATGTACTCGTTGATTTATGTAGCTTCTTTATTCATTGATTGTTCTATGTATCTATTAATTGATTTATTGTTTCAATGATGTATCTACGTATTGATATGTTGTTTATGTGTGTACAATGTATGTAAGTGCATATGTGTATGTGTATGGATATGTGTCTGTGTATATGTAGATGTAGGTGTAGATGTAGATGTAGATGTAGGCGTAGCTATAGACGTACGTCATGTAGGTGTACGTTTACGTGAAGGTGCATGTGTATGTGCGTGTGTATGTGCATGTGTATACGCATGTATGTATGCATGACTGTATGCATGACTGCATGTAGGTATGTACTCATGTATGCACTTATTTGTGCATTTGCTTGTCGGATCACATGCCTTTTCTATTGGTCTGCATTGGCTTGCAAGTGGCCTTTCGGTGGATATGGCGATTACCCACTCAGCCTCAAAGAAGGGCTCGATACGGGGCTCCTCCTTGCCCGAGTCTGACATCGGCTCAGGTTCACTCTGCAAGAAAACTAAGCATCTAGGGGTCACTTCAATTTCTATTCTTTCCAGGGATCCTTCTTTCTAGAAAATCTGTAGAAACCCAGGGGAAACAGCTGGTTTTTGAAAAGAACGATGGTTGAAAAGAATGGAAAAGGAATCGACCCTAGGTGGAGAGGAAGTGTGCTCATGACTTGCCCCAAAACACAACAGCCTCCTGACACTGAAGCTGGCAACTTGGCCGGATCTCCTTGCGCGGTCAAATGTCGTCAAAGGTCGGCGTACTGAG